TAATTCATTTGAAACTATAGACTTAGTATTTTGACCTCACAAACATCTAATTTGAACCAGTGCTGCATTGAACATACCACATGACACACAAAAATTGATGTTTATCTGTTTTTTTTGTTTTTTATATTTGCTTTTAAATTAAGAAATTGAGTAATATATAGTACTAAAATTTGAATTATAATCTACAGTTTGATACCAGACTTATTGATATAAATTCATGAAATGGTAGTTCAATAAAATTTTGAATGCGAGTCAACAAATGAGATGACATGGCCTTTCACCTATGACCCATCTCGAAAGAGTTAATAAATATGTTAGGTTAAATGTTACCAGGTAGCATACAGGAAAAGCTGCTGTTAGCTGATGTTGAAATTAGAAATACGTGAAAAGTTTTCACAATGAATGATAAACAGCATGGCCACGGAAGTGACAAATAATAACATATTTATTGGATGTTTAGAAACATGCACATTCCATCTTCAGAAATTACTACAAATACAAAACAATGATTACAAATAACAATATGAATGGTGAAAAGAAAGTTGTATATCATAAACATTCATAATGATAATATTCAGACTCAAAGGTTGGATGTCAAAGAACCAGCAAATGAACCTGGATAAGAACCTCAAAATCAATCACTAAATAATTGTACCTATATAGCTAACAAGATAAAATTAAATTTATCCTAACAGAAGCTCATTTACTGGTTTTAACATACACCCCCCTTTCTACTCTGCGAGTCCCAAAATTCCCATTATAAATGTTTATGGTCATACAACATTTCTTTCCAACAATCATTTTGTGGTTTGTTTACTGTTTTGTAGTTACTTCAAAAATATCCTGAAGATGAAATATGTATATCCCAAAATATTCAGTATTATTATCATCATTTCTATGACTGGGTTGTTCATTATTAGAATATGTTTTCCTCCTCATAAATCTGAATGATAAACAACATTTCAGTGCATATTACATTTACTCAAATCAAAACCTTCCAATAATGATAATACCACATGCTTTGGAAAATAACTGAAAACTGAAATTGTTGAATTAATCTTAACAAATGGTAATGGCAAGGAATATTTTTATCAGTGTAGTCTTACAAATACAAAACATATATTTCTCTGAATTTCATGATGTGCAGGAAGAGATGGTCATATAAATGCGAGAATGGTAGACAAATGATAGAAAATTGAGCTGTATTGAGTTATGCTAAAGATGGCTAATTTGAGGTTCCAGTTTTTTTTGTTTGTGCAAGATTTTCTGTGTATTGGTTATCCATACTTTTTTTTAATGCTATGTTATAATACTATTGTAATGATAAATTGTAATTCAATATTTTTAAGTCCTTGTTTCATATTGCATCTTAACTTATTACACAAAGTTCAAGATAATCAGTTGGTTGTGCTTCAGGCTAGGAGAAAGTAGGCTAAATATAAGAAAAATAATTGGATTGACTGACCAAACAGTATAAGAAAAAAGTTAATTGATAAATCATTAACAATTGTTTAGTGATGTAAATATTATGTTTATACAAAGTTTTGGATTTCTCTCCAGTACGGATGTTGCCAAGCTCTTAGTCAACTCTCTGAGAAATATCTGGTTACAGTATTCACCACAGCTTGGGGAATAGTTTATGGAAGTAACAAAAGTGTAGCCCGGAAAACTCACCATAAACAGTCCAAACTGCAAGGTATTTCAAGGTAAGTTAAAGAAAAAATTATAAGTAGTATAAGGTACTTAAACAACAATTTTAAACAAAGAAAACTTTCTCCTGTCATGTTAATTGTACAACTTGTCTGCTTAATATTCTGTAAGAATAGTGCTTAAATTCTAATACAGAATCACACAGTAATATGTAATAGACTGATTAAATTTTTCAGAAATAAAATGACAGTGAAATCTTTATTATAACTAAAGCTGTTGTATTCTTTAGGTGAACTGATTTCTGCACAAGTATCATATAGATTTGCTAATAATGTCAGGCTTCACCAGGAAATTTGTGGAGTATTCTGTGTTTTCAAAGTTGACTGAACACTAATCTTCTATGAAAAATAAAAAGATTGGGTCAAGCTTAAAAAATTATCATAATTTTTATTACAATATTCCAACAAAAAATGCAGCGTATGGTCTTTACTCAAAGAACTGAAGCAGAAAACAAAGTAGAACTGAACCAAGAAGGTACACTTGAATTCAACAAATAAACTTAGTTTCTTTGTCCAGTGAATAGTGGCATCTCAGGACACTTGTTTTTTCATGGCATTGGTTAGCTATACCATTTAAGCAATGTCAACTCAGCCAGCAAAGGATATTACAGTATTTATTTTTTCAACATAGATACTATTTGTTACTGCAGTATCCTCTAGGGCAGAATAAACATTATATATTGTAGAAAAGAAAACAAAGTAACTAAAACAAGATAACTTCAGTGGTTTTCTGGGCCACATGCTTATGTCAAAACTACATAGAAACAGACTAAGTAAAAAATTTTAAGAAATTCTGTACAACTAAAAGCAGATATAAAATGTATGTTATGCTTACATATCACTTTTTCAAGCTTGTCTTCAAGTGAACAATTAGAATTAAGCTTTAAAATCAGTAAGGTTAGAACTTGTGACATAGCCAAGTGCAAATTAATTTTCCTTTGTTTGTAGAAACACATACATGACTCATGGACAACACAACCATTTAACAATTATTTTAAGATAATATACATTAAACTAAATCTTTTCAATTATATTTGATGGTCATTATATTAAGGTTACAATACAAATATGGCAAATGAAACACTCATTGACTGTAATTACACTTGAAATTAGAAGATGATACTTAATAATGCAGAATTAAAGAAAATCCTTTAACTTTTGGGTTACATAATAGACCCTTGAACTGTATCATAGTTTAAATACAAAATTGAACCCTTTATTATCAAAATGTTACTGAAACTAAAAGTAAAGTATAAAACACAAGGTAATACATAAAATAAAACATAAAACTTTCAGTAGAATTCACAAAGTTCCTATGATTAATGCAACAAAATTACAAAAAAATATTTCAGTAAATTTAGAACACAATAATACATCATACAGTACAAAGACATTTTTAATAATAAATATATGAAGTGATTCTTTAACATAGAAAAATCAATGCACAAGTTCATACTCACAAGCATAAAAAGAAAACAAAATAAAAATATAATGCAAAGATACCTTCCCACTTTAAAGGTGGGCAGTCTAACAAAATTAATTACAAAACTAAAGATAAAAAAAGGAAGAAAAACATAATACAAATTTGTTTAACAATAATAACATATTCAAGTTCAATTTTTAACAATGATCACATTTTAAATAACAAACTTGTTACACTTCATAATGAATGAAAATTTTTCCTTATTAAAATAATCAAAGCAAAAAAAGGGGAGATCACTACATAAAAAGAATTTAACTCTTGAACTTACCTCATTCTTTTAACATCAAAATACAAAAAAAATTACCTCTCCTCAAAAAAACTAACCACTTCTTGCTCGCATGTATTTGTGAATGAACAGGATGAAATGGCACATTACAAGCATTACTTATAAAACACAAAATTCTATAAACTCTGTTGAATCTTGCTCTTCCACACACACTTGCATACATGAAAGACCCAGGGTACAATGCTATATACACATAATAACAATAAAACATGATTCATACAAATACACAAAGAACTTTAATTCCATAATTTTACACACACTTGCATTCATGTAAGAGTGAGGACATCATCATTACTAAAATAAAATGCACCATACACACACAAAACTATATGTAGTGGTACCCAAATGCATACAAGACATACAACAAGAAAAACTCATACTGTCTTGTTTTCCACGTACACTTATGCATGCACTCTAAATTAAACACAAAATAAATTTTAAATTGATTAAATTAGTTATATACATAGTATATACTTATGTCAGAGTCCATATGAGGTTTTTCTCTCTTTCATCTCAATCCAGCTAGCAGATTCTTTAAGACTGCTGTTGACACCTTCAGTTTGTTCTGAGGTTTACTGAGGGTTTTCTCAGTGTCAACAAGCTTGCTAACCTCCTTCCATATAATGATGGCCTTAGCCAATCTACCCTCCTGTTGTACAGAGCGTATGTTTATGACCAGTTGGCAGCAATTTTCCAATTATGCCTTTTCATCATTGGAATCTATTCAAGTGTGAGGCAATGCATTTGGATCTTGGGTTGGGGGTGGGGTCAGTGCTGTCCAATTTCTGCAGACAAATGGGTGTCTGGACACATCAGGTTTCTACAGATTCAGCACTTTAGATGCATCTAGTTTCTGGGTGCTGCCATGTTGAGCTGAACAAACAAAAACAGAGCTAAAACTGCTTTTAGCACAAGAGATGGCCTGTTTGAATTCTGCATAATACCATTTGGTCTGTGTAATGTCCCTTAATAAGCTAATGGGGTTTGCACTTGAGGGACTGCAAAGGGAGAAATGGCTAGTCTGTGTTGATGGTGTTTTGCCATACTTTTGAGACAGCACGAGGATGGTATTTCAGTGCTAGAGAAAGGTGGATCTGAAACTGAAACCTAGGAAGTGTATGTTCATATGAACAGAAATGGAATATCTCAGCCATGTAGTCAGAAAAAATGTAGTCTTGATTGATCTAGCTAAAATAGCCAAAGTTTCAGACTGACTTTGATTGAATTTGAAACAAGAGGTCAGTAGTTTAATCAATTTTGCATCATACTATTGGCAATTTGTGAGTAATCTTGAATGAAGATAGCAGCACCATTGTCTGCTTTCAGAAAAGTGGAGGCATTCTTTGACTGGAATGAAGAGTGAGACAAAACATTCTAGTCCAAAAGCTTGTATCAGTGGATGCTCCAGTGCTGGCTTATCCTTGCCAGGATTTCAACTTTCTTCTGGATGTGAACATTAGATCTGGGCAGTTAGTGGAAGTTGCTTATCCATAACATGATGGGCTCATTAACCCTATTGCCCCAGGTACCCTTTACTGTGCATGACACAAGGTTTTAGTGTCTTACATTCAAAATGTTATTGAACTACTTTTTGTTTATGTTATACCAATTAGAATAGCATAAAATCTTAGCTAATAATCCATATTTTATTGTATACAAGATTTAAATTCTTAATTCTACAAGGAAATATTTAAACAAATCCTGAATTTCCACTAGTGTGACCCAAGTGACACATTTTCTCTTATCATGTCATCATCCCTATTTTATCCATCACCCCTTGAAAATGTACTAAATTAAAAGGAAAATACTCTATAAAATCGTTATTGCTCAAACAAGCCATAACTTTTATAGGCTTCAATTTTGTTTGGTTACAGAGCTATCGAATAAAAAATCGGACTCCTCCTGCCACACCCATCTGTCACTTCCTCTTTTTCAGAATTTGTTGATAGTTCTTTCTTACGTTTCATTATATATTACTTATAATCAATAGAAAGTCAGGGTTTTGTATTCTGTAATGTTGTATTCTGAACAGAATATCATCAATTTCACTCACAGTACAAGATTCGTTCCTGTGGAAAAGTTAATGACTAGCTTGAATGAATTTGTAATGGCTCTTGTCGCATAGTTAGAAAGCCAGGAAAATTTTAAGAGGTAATTGAATTTTCTACTTTTGCATCTTATTAGTCTATATTCATTGGTGCATTATTTAATTAAATGAAAATTGTTAAGTGCATTACTATAAAAAATGAGGCTTAACTCTCCTCGACAATCGAGGGTAAGAAAAAAAAATTGGGTAAGTACTTTATTTCTTGTTTTCATATTTATTCATTATTTATTATTATAAAAGTAACTGAATCTGAAAATACATATTTTTTTAAGTTATTTAAGACTGGTGAAATAAATAATATAATTAAAATGGTTCATGAGGCATGCATGCAAGTAGTTCGTGGGTAATGTAATTTGACAGCATAACGTAACCTACACATTTCCCAAGTGATTTACAACTTGTGATGGCACAAATAGTAGTTATACATGGTTTTAAGGGTAATAAAACAATAAAATTTAATTCTAAATAGTTGTATACTGTTATGAGTTTAAAGCTATTTAGGATAAACAAATGTAGTTTCACGTTACAATTTGTGGAGACATAATGTGGTATTCTCAGATTCTGCTTAACCTTTGAGTAATTGGGTAGGACTCACAAAATAACTGGAGGTTTGGCAGAAAATGTTTTATGGAGCAATATCGTAATTCTGTTAACCTTGACTGAGGCTGAAGCAAAGAAAGAGACTGGATAGAATATATCATATAGTGAAACAATCTTTATTTCTAACACACTCAATTTTTAAAGCAAGTATATTTTGGCACCTTTATGGGACTGTGTATCTGTTTAATATCTTTGGTTGTATTCAGGTTTTGGTAGAAATCATAGCATCTTGTTTCATATGTAGAAAATATGGCATTATATAGGAAAATAACGGTGCATTCTTCTCAGGATGCAGGTTCTATCCATGTGACTGACAGTCACTCACTGCAAAACAAGGGATGTTGTATCCATGGGACATCACCTATTTGCCAATAGAAAAGATCATTGTAATTTTTTATGCAATACGAATTCTGTTACAGTAATCTTTCCTACAGGAAAGCACATGTGATGCCCTAGTTGACTGATCTTGTTCCCTGAGCAATGACCAGCTTTCTATAGTAAGACCACATGCTTAGTATGCTCAGAAAATTGTATATGTTAACTAAATGGATATGAATGTATTGTAGGCTTACGTACCAAAGTAGAAAGCCTCTCCTCTCCAATAACCTGTATAATCATTCTGCAAATTATAAGATGGCTAGTCCAATTATTCATTGTGAATAATGATTTGTTTCACTTATTTATGTTTGTTTACTTGTCTTTCCTTTGCTAGCCATGCTATCCAGAATCTGCATTCTTGTGGATGTTTTTAACTACCTGGCAAATATCAGTGGACCTGAATACCACACTAATTTCCTGTTGCTAAACTTCATTATATCATAAAAAATATTTTATATAAAGAGAACCATTGTACTCATGCATATTAAAAATGGAGTCAGCTGGTGAAGTAAAATTCCGTTTTTCTTTACAAGTTTTGATTTTCCTAAAGAAACTATGTAGAAATATGGCTGCAAAACATTAACTAATTTAACTGAAATAATGGAAAAGTAACTTTGTGTAACTTAAATATGATAAATTCATTAGCATAATGAATACAAATAATACTGAATATTATTTAGATAAAAATATATAAGAATGGACAACTAGGTAAAAACTATTGAAGAATAAACTTTTTTTAAGTATTAAAATGTACAATTTCAAAAGGATTTTTGGGTAAGAACACCATGAAAGTATTTTTAACTCAAAAGATTGTGAGTTGATTCTACACAAATTGTAATAATTTGGTGGCAGCTTTAAACAAGAGAAGATCCATTAGGCAAATTTGTGCATTAGGTTAGTGTTTGATAACTGTCTTAAAAAATTCATTGAAACTCCCAAAGTGTTATTTTGGTTTTTATGGAAAGTCTATCCAAAGCAATGTTATTTTGGCTTGAAGTCATTCAATTTTAATTTTGATTCACACTGTGAGAATGGTTTTGAGTGTGTTTATGAAATTTAGAACACACTGTGCACTTAGTAGAAACCAAAATATTCAACTATTTCTTGGTCTGTTATATCTAAATCTGTCAGTCACAAGTGATCTCAAACAGTGAAAGTAGTTACAATGAGAAGAACAAAGTATCTTATACTTATTGTTCTTTTTACTTCACTTTCTTGTTCTATGTTGATTTGATTCTAACGTTTTTGGAAGACCTCTTTTTCTGATCATTTTTACATGATATGTCATGATTACATCCACATCGTTTGTCAGATATTTTGATGGCCAAAATAGCCATTTCTGTATGATCAACACCAGACTTTAGGGTTAAAAAATAAAAGGAAATATGTATTGGCATGTATATGTTGTTGTTGAGTAATATCAGTTGACATATAACACAAAATACTAAGCTTTTATATTATTCTATCTTGTTTTCATATTAATTTTTAACATTGTATGTCATGAGTGTTTTTCTAAATAGTTATGTTCCAGATATTAGTACTGATGAATCACAACTGCCTTGTACCAGTCTTCTACACCACCTGCTAGCATTACTGACAGGTACACCATTGGGCATTGATCTAACAGCACATCAGAATACCTTGCAGTTAGCAGGCAACATCATGGCTGGTTTGTAGTTTGTTTTTCAATGTTTTCATATTTATTAGATAACATATTACAGTAAAGTGTTTTAAGTGAAGAAAAAAAAAATAAAGTATTAAATTGGCCTCATTGAAAAATTTAGCACAAATGATCACCAAAAAAAGTTCAGGAGTATTTCAAAAGACCCACAAGCTTGAGCACTTTTGAATAGTGGTTTTTCGTTATTGAGCTAAAATATTTGTAATCTCTAATTGTCCTTCAGTACTTTTGTATAGTGTATAACCTGCTATATTAATCAGTCATTGTTTTTTGTATTTTAGATTACACATAAGCATTGTTTCATAACATATTCTCATCGTGTTTATTTCTCCACAACCAAATAGAATTCTTACTAAATTCTTTAAAACTACATGGATACCTACACAATTTCTAAAACCAATCACTTGTTTATTTTTACACATGAAAACCCACAGTCAAACTATTATTATTACTCATTATCTTGTACACTTAGGCAAAAGACTTGGTTTTTAAAAATCAGTTTACTGAAGATTCTACACAATTACTTCACCCAAATTTATCTTAGTCATCTGTAAACCTTCACACCAACCTAAGAAATTTTTCACTTCAAAATTCACATCCCAATATTATTTTATTCTTGGATTGTTTATTCATATACATGTGAAAGCTGCAAGTCCACCTATAGAGAAAAATTAAATGCCACTTTACCTTAAGAATTTCACTTAGAACTAGATGAGAATTATCATCTTCATCTGACTGAGCTATTTGCACACAAACAACTAATCATAAAATTTATTTATCTGACTTTCAACTCCTAATTACAGACTGCATGGACATGGAATTATTTGCAAAAGAGTCTCCTAATTAAACAGAATCTTCTAAATTTAAAACAGTCTTTATTAATTTCACAAACAAAATGTGTGTAGTTGCATTGGATGCTAGATAGTCACATCTACTGGAGTTGTGAAGCCCACTCTTCTGCCATTATAAGAATTATACACAGTTATGCCCCAAAAACCTGCTGCTCTGTGCAAATGCATGTGCTGCACTCCCAGTCATGCCAGCAAGGCAAATTCCCTGGAAGCACCCACCACAGATACCATTAATTTCTAAGCTTCCAAAAGTGTC